CAAAAGCATATCTGATTTATTGCATCAAATGTAACGTTTCTCATGAATGTGCTTTCTTACAATGATCAATTCATGAAAATAAAAAAAAAATATTTTTTTTTAAATTATCTGTTTGAACATATATTGTTGACATCGTTACACCCATCAATGCCTAATAGTTACATACGGCTTACCGTCTATCCATAAGGCTGTTGAAAATAGAATTCGACGGATGATTTGTATTTTACCGTTAGCATCAAAGACTATCGACATGCACATTTGGCACAATTTATTATACATTAATGCCAACGTTGACAACGATAATGTTGTTTTTAGCATTCCAATGTTACAGATTAACAATTTCCCAAAATTCTCCTAAACACAAGGCTAAACACCAAGGATTTAATAAACTAGCTGTGTTGGTTATGTGCTCCTTTCTAATTTAATCTTTGGTACAGCTCGTTAAATGTTTCATGTTTTAGAGAGATTATATTATATTGCATGCAAAATAAATAGTTTCCCATAATTCACTAAAATGAAAACTTACCTTTTTTGATAATAAGGCAATGTCAAGGTAAGAATCCCTAACAGACAGCAGCAAAACCAAGTTAAGAAATTGTAAACAATGAGTTCTTATACAATTATATAATTGCAAAGAAATTAAGCGACATACTTGCACAATTCAATCACATAATTGTTCAACAGCAATTCAGTTAAAAGTTTAGTCTTTTTTGTATAATACAATCACAAAACATCATGTTTGCGACATGTTCGTTATTGTGCTTCGTTTAATGAAGGTATCAATTTTATCGTACTTGGTTTCCTCATGAAAGCCTCACGTGTATTTGCATCATACATCGTATCTACAGATACAATGTCATGCCTCTGCAATATTTTGAAACCATAAAGTCTCCAGTTACACCAGCAGAGCCAGGAAGAGATATTTGTTAATATAATTCTTTTTTTCAATTCGTCTGTGACTCCTATCCAAGCTGTATTATTTTCTCTTGAATGGGACTTAAAACAACAAATAAATATTGTAGCAACCATGACAATAGAATTCTGACGTTTGTAGTTATAGTGTTCATATTTGGTCAGTAGCTGTTTGATAATATGGAACAGAGTCTGCTTTTGATTAACTTTCTTTACATTCGATATCCATCTTGAGCAAACTCTAAAGGTTTTCATCTGATACATCAGTACATAAAATATAGCTGAACAATTAATGCCAGTGATAGAATATGTATAGTCCACTGTGTATCAAACATCTTTATGAGTTGGTCCTTTCACAGCGACCACTTCCACCTAACTAAAGGTAGACAACGGTCTTTTTAACAGGAAGACCCACTATACATTATCGGATATAACATAATTATACCTCGGCAATTGTATCAGAATCTTCCCTGATAGAAGCCAGATAGTAGCCATGAAGCTTCTTTAGTTTTGAATATTCTTTTGCTCAGTAGCAGAATTGTTCTCTTTGACGGAACACTTTTGTGTCAGGGACACATATTTTTTATCAAAAAAGTTGAACTCGTTATTGCCCATACATCATAGGTATATATAATTTAATAAAGAAATAATTATACTGCTTTTTAAATTTTTCGCCCAGAAGGTTTCTGTATTCAATGTAAGTATGCTTTAAAGGCCACAGAAAGGTATGCCGACGTATCGATAAAAATCTAGAAGGCACGTAAACGACGAGAAGTACAAACATTAATGGTTGCTTCATCGATGACAATAAAAAAATTAACTTACTTCTAGGACATTATTAAACAATTTAATGAAATAAGTGAGTTTTAAATACGGATATTTACTGAATACAGTAGTGTTGAGAAATGGTAACATACATGATGTATTATAATTGCTCAAAAATTATTAGCAAATCGGCCATTATCAGCTGAAGCAGTACTAACCAAATTTATCGTTCTATCATTTCAAAAATAACTAAATAAATATTTGCTGATGAAAATCATCTCTTGCTAAATCATCATCAGTTTCAGTATCTTAAAGTGAATGTTATCAGAATAAAATGGATATAACGTCATACTTCAAATTTCACCATTGTATACTGGTAGAGTGATACCACCTGGATCTCAGTCATTAAATATTAGTTTATTAAACAACTGAAGAATAATGTAGATAAAACATCCTGAAATTATGGTGTGATAGAATGGTGTTAACCCTGCATTTAAAACATATCTTGATTAGAGATTGAAATATATAATTTTAAATCTTAAACTGAACAATTAGGAGAAAGACACACACACACACACACAACCATACTTATTAATGTATAAACTGATTATATTTTGTCAACCATACGTATTAATGTATAAACTGATTATATTTTGTCAACCATACGTATTAATGTATAAACTGATTATATTTTGTCAACCATACGTATTAATGTATAAACTGATTATATTTTGTCAACCATACGTATTAATGTATAAACTGATTATATTTTGTCAACCATACGTATTAATGTATAAACTGATTTTATTTATCAAAACAGTACAACCATACGCATTATTGTATAAACTGATTATATTTTGTCAACCATACGTATTAATGTATAAACTGATTATATTTTGTCAACCATATGTATTGATGTATAAACTGATTATATTTTGTCAAACAAATGGTTGGTAGAAAGAAACATTAATGTTTGTACTTTTCATCGTTTACGTGACTGCTGGATTTTTATCGAAACGTCGGCATACCTTTCTGTGGCCTTTAAAGCATTCACCTCCCCATTTTCCCACCTATTCAACCATTCCTTTCAGAAACATAACATTATCTTTCTTTTGCAAAGCTTGTCAAAGCTTCTTTCATTGTTATTTCCGTTTATCTTGATGCTAAATATACATTTGGTCGGATTTTCATTTGGTCATATTTTTCGCAAGGCCATCATTATCTTGCAGATACAAGCGTGTGATGCGTGTTGTATGACGTCATGCTGTTTTCTGTTAACAGCCTTATGTTTTATTTTGCTTGTTTTATTTGTAAGTTTTCAACCATAGGCAGGCTCATTGTTGCATATTTTTTAATAAAAAATATGTATAATCTCAAAAGGCAATATAAGTAGCATATTTCTTGATTCATTATAAACCATATTCGTAATAATACCATTGACTTAAAAAGAATAATGATCGAGCATGTCAAAATTATGCACTTTTCATATGAACTGAAAGCGATAATATCTGAAAGACCTTAATCATGCCTAGAGTCCTCATTAAGTCTTAAACTTTATCTCAAACAATAGCTATTATTAAACACAAATCTTGCTGGGGCTGTCAATAAAAATTAAAGTCACCGTCGGTATAAAAATTATTTAACACATTTCTGGAGCAATTCAAAGCCAACTCAATATCTGTGCAGCTGACTTATTGACCTAAGTGTTCATTATTCATCACAAACTGTCAAAAGTTTAGATGATTACCGCAAAGAAACTGCGATGTTTGGTTCTCAAATCAAATAGTTTATCACGTTATGACATTTTGAGGACGAAAACTTATACCTCTCTTTTCTGTTTCGAATGCAAAGCAAAATAAATGTTTATAGATACACGTATTTTTGCACAATATTATTATGCAATTTATTCCTATTCATGTCTCGAATTTAAACATGGAAGCATACTGAATATAAATCTAAATAAGTTTACAGTCGAAATACAAAATATTCTTCATCATGGACAGAAAATAATTATTATTAATTATTAAAATATTATTTACGTCTTATGTTATGATATAGATAAACGTGAATTTTATGAAAGCACGACCGTCTGAACACCTTATGCTGTATTTTAGCCAAACGCACAACACAAAAAGGTCTAACTGTATGACATGAATAGCGAGGCGATATCTAATTACAAAGAGAAAAGAAATGACATATATTTATGAATAGGTTACAAGTGGCAATAACATAAATATAATAATACATGAATCAAAATACATGAGTAAGTGACTGGGGATACCGTCGCCTCAATGGCACTTTAATGTTAAATGTGGAGTAATGTACCGTAGGCTAAAATGTTTTAGAGGTTTGTACAATAGCCTCAAAACAGAAAATGGAACAGGATGGGACTATTTAGCCTCAAGTGAACAGGGTGATTGGGTCTATAGATGGTCAAGTGTGTGACAGTGACAAACACAATAGAGACATAGTTATAGACATAAACATATACATAGGCATATACATAGACATAGACAAACAAACAAATATACATAAATATGGCAAAGAGTAAATCTTTTGGAGACAGTGGATTGGCCCTGTTAAGAGCCTTTGGGTTCGTCTTCTATTTCTTCCAGTTCTTCCATCAGCTTCTCAATTTTTCTATGATTCCTTTTGTCTTCTTCTTCTTTTCCTTCTCTGGCATCCAGTCAGGATCTCCCATGGATTCCCAGCAAAACGCCGTGGAGCGCTAAGATCTAACAAAGACTTGTGGGACCTCCTGGTCATCCATTGCACTCAGCTCCGTCTCCTGTCGTCTCGACGTATACATACTGATTGACTCAGACGGTTTTGGGCGAGAGAGTGAGGTCGACGAACTACGCAACTCTTTCTTACTTATATAAGAAGACGTAATTGCTTTGGATAAAAATAAAACCTTGCCTAAAGTAGAAAGAAAGCAACTCTTTCTTACTTATATAAGAAGACGTAATTGCTTTGGATAAAAATAAAACCTTGCCTAAAGTAGAAAGAAATAGGTGATCGGTCAGTAAGGTCCAGAAGGTCAGGCAAGACCGAAACATAACTGGAAGCGAAGTGGTCATTGTGATGAGTGTAATTTAGATTTTCAAAGTAGCTTTAACAATTTTTTAGTCATATCGCTACGATATGCAATGTGAAAGTTTATAGAGATGTTCAGAATTGGAGTTTCACGCCTCGGACATGTGGCATGATGTCCCAACCAGTCACATTTTCCCGACACTAGGCCGAGCAGTCCTAATACTAACCTCTTAATGCTGAGTACCAAGCAAGGCAACTGTTAGTACCATTTTTTAAAGTCATTGGTATGACTAAGCCGGGTTTCAAACCCGCGACATCTCGCACTGGAGGCGGATGCTCTAACCACTAGGCCAACTGAGCGAAGCGAAGTGGAAATACCCCATTTAGAATTTGAGATACGAATATTTAATCGGAAAAAAGAAAAAGACAAAATAGTAAAGAAACAAATAGAAACGATTGCTTGAATGAGGGTTAGCGGCTAAAAGGAACCCTATGGTAGCCTCTATAATGATTTACGTCTTATGAACCCGGAATGACGTTACAAATAATTCATTACTAGGTCGACATATGAGTGAATATGCTACCCAGGGATGCATCTACCATCGACACTGTAACGTCAGATTTCTCAGTTTTCTGATGTGTGCATGGTGAAAATCATTCATCAGGAAGAACTTACGGTGTGTGTGTATCTTATTTTCAAACGGGATAGATCATTTTAATTGACGGATATATATATATATATATATATATATATATATATATATATATATATATATATATATATATATAAATATATAAATATATAAATATATATATATATATATATATATATATATATATATATATATATATATATATATATATATATATATATATATATATATATATACATATATACATATATACATATATATATATATATATATATATATAGTACTTGAAAGTGTGTTACTGTGGGTCGTGGAAACAGGGGAATCAGTATATTGACGATTGTGCAATATGCAAAACGGCTGGTATGAACTTTACTCGTACCTATGATCTATGCTCTCACCATTATTAAAATTTTACAGTGGTGGTTGGGATATATTAGCAATGATGAAACGACTTCAAGAGAATTTTTTACAGAAAACGTTATCCCTATCGCATTTTGAAAAGTTTTCATTATTTACTCCTGTCCCTTGATGAGCGACAGATAACGCGACAGAGAAAACGAGAGGTAGAGATATGTTATGATCAGGTTGATGACTGTCATGTGATGTGTGATTTAGTTTTTAGTGTAGTTTTAACAATTTTTCAGTCATATCGCTACGATGACTGCAGCTTGACAGTTTATTGTGATGTCTAGCACTAGGATATTACATTACAATATATATATATATATATATATATATATATATATATATATATATATATATATATATATATATATATATATATCTGTGTGTGCGTGTATGTCTGTGTGTGTATAGACATAGATTCAAAGATACATACATACATACATACATACATACATACATACATACATACATACATACATACATACATACATACATACATACATACATACATACATACATACATACATACATACATACATACATACATACATACATACATACATACATACATACATACATACATACATACATACATACATACATACATACATACCTACATGCATACATATCTACATGCCTACATACCTACATGCCTACATACCTACATACATACATACATACATACATACATACATACATACATACATACATACATACATACATACATACATACATACATACATACATACATACATACATACATACATACATACATACATACATACATACATACATACATACCTACATGCATACATACATACATGCATACATACATACATGCATACATACATACATACATACATACATACATACATACATACATACATACATACATACATACATACATACATACATACATACATACATACATACATACATACATACATACATACATACATACCTACATACCTACATACCATACATACATACATACATACATACATACATACATACATGCATGCATGCACATCCATGCATGCATGCATACATACATACATACATACATACATACATACATACATACATACATACATACATACATACATACATACATACATACATACATACATACATACATACATACAGACAGACAGACAGACAGACAGACAGACAGACAAACATTACATACAGACATATATACATACATATATACAGACATACATACAGACATATATAATATAGCTATAGCTATTAATAAAAGGAGGAGTATATAATTTTTTCAGGCTTTTTTAAGCAATTTAATTAAACATTTATTTTAAATATTATTTAATAATGAATACTGGAGAACCTCACTCAGCTAAATTAGCTCGAGAGCGACTAGAGGTAATTGAAAAATATTTACCTGTTCGTGATTCTGATAAACAGCAGCTACAGTCGCGTCAGGAATCTCAAATTGTATCTGAAGAGGGCACAAAACAATTATTTAAGCCTATCGCAGACATCACTACGGGTATTCAGCCTGTGTTAGAGAAAATAACAGAAAGGACCTAGAAAACAAAAAAATATTCTTAGAGAACTTCCTGCGCAAATAGCTGCTGCTCAACCCATGCAAGAAATACTTGAGGGCACTAATTCAATCAAGAAAACAAGAAGCAAGAAAACCAAAACGAAAATATACAAAAAAGAATGCATCCAGGTCCTGAAACGTCATCGGAATCACAGCTGGAACTAACACCACCATTATCATCACCACCGCCACAAAAACAACAATCAGCATCACCACCATCAATACGACAAATATAACATCATACATGAGAACAAAAATTATTGTCACAATCTCCAATACCACAAAAGCAACAACAACCACCATAAACAAAACATGAGGAGGAAGAAGATTGGCTATCAGACATCGTTTCTGGAAGTGGCCTTACCACACAAGGAAGTGGTCTTATTACTCAATGTCCTAACAATGTCCTTTCTGATGTTGAACGACTACAAACGAGCTGATAATAATTCCCCATAAATCATTAATGAAGCAGCAGATATTTGTAAAAGATTATTTACAGGCGGTATCATGTATATTAATGTGTATCAGTGTCCTATTAATGAAATCGACAATGATTAAGTATTAAGTAGCGACTAAGTATGTAATTAAATAAAATGACTATTAATAAAATAATAGTACATAGTATTCAACGTGGACCAAACATGGTCAGGGTGATCAATTCTTGAATATCGATTTACAAGACAACCTACAGAGATGTTCAGTGACGTTGTTCAGGGTTTATTTAGAAGGATAGTCCCAAAAGCAATGCCAATTGCAAAGCAGCTGGGTATGAAAGCTATTGATGTTGTTCGTGAAAAAGGTATAGGCGCTGTTGATAATGTTGCTAGTAAAGCATTTTCAGCAATCAAAGATAGACTAGCACGATTAATACGTAGACCTGAAGCGGTCCGACCTCAGCCGGTGAAATTACCTAGCACTGAAATAATGCTTGCAAATATTAGTAAAAATAAAAATCAGGTTGCTTATCAAAAACTAGCAGAGTTGGCTGATGTACCTTTATCAAAAAAAGAAAAAAATTATAACCGCCAGTCTCATAGCAGGTGGTGGTCTCAATTGTCGAAGTGGTATTAGATAACTCCATTAATATCTGAATAACAACGGTTACTATTTTTTATGAATCAAGGCGGTAAATCAATGCAATCATGGCTGACAATGACCACAAATGCTATCCAGAGTAATATTAACGATTATTTACATGACAGATAGCCTCTCAGCAAGGTGTTTCTGCACCGCGACACATATTTATTGTATTACAAGATGCTGCACGAGTAAATGACCAAACGCGTAGTATTATGATATTTGACAATCTTGGTGTTTCTGAGATTTCATTAAGGATAAATGGACATCAAGAACCATCCGAGGATATAATACTTAATTTCGATCAAAATCATGTAGCACGTGCATATCATCGCCTTATGACGTTTATGGGGCGTGATCAAAATGTTGAAACTGGATTACAAATATCACATCTAGATTTTACAACCTTATATCCAATTTATTACTTTTCGCTCGAACATTTAGAATTGACCAGACAATCAATAGTCGATATACATTTTCGAGCTAGTATAACAATAGGAGCTATTGCTAATTACAGAGCAATTGCTGTTATACTTAGCGATAAATCAATGCTCCTTGAAGGTGCTGGTGGACGAATGTGAGTCGTTGATGCCCCAGTAGAAAATATGTAACACATAATTAGATCACTTATGAATATTATAATGTCATATAATCACGCTAATGTTATCCGGACTCCTGGTCAGATCAAAATTCTGCAATCAGCATTGAACAATAAATGTGGAATAAAAATATAATTGCAAAAAGGAACAGATGAGCGGCTCAAATAAATTATTTGACCGATCGTCAATTTAAAATCTTCAATGAAGCAAACAAATCAAATACAGGCGTCAAACTTAGTCTTTCTGCTAGCGTCATCAAATATACTTTTAAAATAGGTGGTATATTTCCCCTTCTCGCAGCTGTACCAACATTAATAGCTGCTGCAGCCTCAGCTGTTGCAAAAGCAGCTGCATTAGGCGTTGTTGAAACTGCTGCTGGAATGGCATTAAAGAAAGCATCCGGACATGGAATAAAACGAACATCCAAAAAAGGGAAGAGGTCTCAGATTGCCAGGGACCCCGCATTCTTGGTACGGAAAAGGTCTACGACAAATCGGAACAGTTTACTGACCTCGCCTATGTATAATTTTGATTTACTCGATGCTGCTAAAAAAACTTAAAAAAGAACAAACTTTAGAGGTGTTTTTATGCGCGATTAATTACCAAAACAACCGAACAATACTGAAACAGGTATTATTGATCTCGATAAAAACTCTGGACCAGCTACCCATTAGGTAGCGTATGCCATTGATCCAAGTGGAATTATCTATTTTGATTCATATGGATTAGCGCCTCCAAAGGAATTTTTAGACTACGCATACAATATGCAAAATGCTCCAGTCTGGTATTCAACGTTATCTGCACAAACATTAACTGATCCACCAATATATGGTCGTGAAGTACTTAATCTATTTGATGCTATATCAAAATCAATAAAACCACCTCATAAAATCGTGCATGATTATACCATGCTGTCACATTTAAACAAACATCTGTAAATATAACGGTAGATATTTACGGAAGATCTGCTCGTAGCAAAGCTCAAAAACAAGGTGGTTTATCTAAATATGCAACACTTGATCAGCTCAGAAATGAGATTCATGATTTATTAAAT